TATTAAATACAATTTCTTTTTTTTTTCTTTTTTTTTGTAGGAGGAAAATTAAGCCTGTTTTTAGTTTTGTATTATGATACATAAATAATACATATACAATTTTATAACTTTATTATATAAAAATAATTGTATATTTCTATATTAAATATAATTTCTTATTTTTTCCCCCTTTTTAAGGGTGTAATATAACCCATGTTCTTCAGGGTTTTAATGAGATTCAAGCTCTTATAATTGTGTTCATATGATGATGTGATGTTGATTCAACAATCTGAGGTGATTCCACAGTTATATTTTTAAATTATTATACTTAATATTACAGCATTGTACAACTAAAATGGTTTGAAATATCACTACTACAAATAGCAATACTGTTATTCGTATAACATATAAAAGAAGTTTGCATGCATACTGTGCATAATATCTTCACTATTGAGTATATATTCATGCAGTGTCCAGAGTTTTTTTAATGTCCACATATTAATCAGTTCATTACCAAACTTGGCAGATATGATTCTGGAGATCATGTTGCTGTTTACCCCACAAATGATGCAGCGGTGGTCAACGGAATAGGAGAGAGACTTGGAGTAGATCTTGATACTGTAATCTCTCTCAAAAATCTGGATGGTATGTACTAATATCTGAAATTCATATTGTATAATTAAAAAGTTAGAATATGTTTTTATGTATATTGTAACATGCTATGATTGCTAATAATGTTTCAACTCTGTAGAGGAATCCAATAAAAAGCACCCGTTCCCCTGTCCAACCACATACCGCACGGCACTGACTCATTACCTTGACATCAACAACATGCCTCGCACAAACGTGCTGTATGAGCTAGCGCAGTACGCCTCTGATCCGCAAGAACAAGAAAACATGCGCAAGATGGCATCTGCTTCACCTGAAGGAAAGGTTAGGATCACGTCATAATCACTGATGTATGGAAGCCCGTTTCTGCTACTGAATAAAAAATAAAAAAGGTAACAATTGTTTAACAATTCTGACTTTTTTCTCGCAATTGCGAGTTTACATTTCGCAATTCTGCATTTTTTCCTCAGAATTGTGAAATATAAACTCGCAGTTGCAAGTTATAAAGTCAGTATTGCGTGATATAA